CAAGATTTTTTGCGGTCTAAGTTTAGGACTCAAGCAGGTCCTGAAGGTTGGAATCAACAAACTCAAATTTGATCGTGTCGCTGACAACTCTATTCTCTCAACAAGCCATTAGAATGGCCGCAGAGAAGAAGTCCCTGTTTTGCTAGTTTAATGATAGAGGCTGTCAAGTTTCAAGCCTATTTAACTCGATAAGTTCAAGCGAACTATATCAAAAAGTTTTTCTTAATTCATCAAAAGGCCAGAAAAATCAAAGGAATGGTCATTTTATTTGAGAAAACATCAAATTGTGCTCAGTGTCTTATTTAAATTAGAAAACCCAAGCTTCTTTAAAAAAGTTTGATCAAGGGTAAGACTTAGATTGGAGAAATTCTTTTCTTCAATAAGTCCGATAAAACAGAAAGCAAAGGACCAAATGAGTTATCCTATAGTTCTTTCAAAGCTCAATTTTGAACTAAGTGGATTCAATTGTCAACAAGTTCGATAAAACATAAAACATAAGATCTACGATTTCTTGCCATTGACTCAGCATAAGCCTGAATGCTAGATCACTGACTTGCATCCTTCAACAAGTCTGCCAAAACACAAAGTTAGGATCGAAGGTACCCTCACTCACCTGATAAGTCGTTAGAGACAATTCAGGTCAATTCCTTAAACAAATCCGTCCAAGTATGAAGCTAGGATTGAAGGTATGCTCACTCACCCGACAACCTGATAAGTCTGTAGAGACAATTCATGTTAATTCCCTCAACAAGTCTACTAAAGCACAAAACCAAGACTAATGGTATGCTTACTCACCTGACAAGTCTGTAGAGAAAATTCAGGTCAAATCCTTCATCTTAAATGTAGTATAAATGATAATCTATACAAAAATTTTAATAGTTCGTGAAAAATCAAGATTTTATCACATGATTAAAATGGTGAATGAATAAGACTTTGATTAAATGATGAGTTTTAAAAGCCACTAAATTTGTAATATGTTTGCAAGTGAACAGAAAGTGGTATTTTATCTACTTAAAGTGAGCATATGCATGCATCCCTTATTCATTCAAATAAGGGAAATTCATATAACTCCAAGTCTTATATGTTTTGTTTTTAAAACAATTTTTGATTCAATTAATGTTTTAAAATTATGTATAAAGTTATCTAAAATAGCCAAATATATGAAATTAAACACCCGCATGTGCTTCACCAAATTGATCAAGTGTTTAAAATTAAATGGTCTGAGAATGTTGTACTGTCAAAGTTAAATTTGCACATAATAGTTCTTGCTCTAATAAGTGTGCAAAATTATTTTACGAAAATCTATGTTTATATTGAAGTTAAAAACTCATATTTTGAAATCAAATTCAAGATAAATTACGTAAGTTTTCACTCTGGTCATTTTGTCTGTAAGACAAAGGTTGTAAGTCAACTAGCTCGATGCTTATCCTCTTAAAGACCAGTTTTGATTTTAAAATAAATGTTCAAATCATAAGAAAAGAATTTGCAAGTTCAAATCATCCAATATGATCTTCTTTATTAGGACTGAAATCGACATAACTTATATCCTAAAAAGTTTAAACCGACTGCTCAAACTAATTTCAAATATCAAAGTTTTAAATGTGAAATTCTTTGATGATGGTTGTGTTGATAGAAAATTTCAACCGGAAAGATCTATTTTTAAAATCAAATTAAAAAGAATGTTTGAATACACTCAAATGATATAATTCTTAAACCCGATCCTTTATAAGCAAGACATATTTGACAAAATCTATGTACAATCATATTTCCTATCCTTTACAAGCAAGATGTAAAGTTGACAGGTTTCAAATCAAGCAATCAAATCCCTGACTATGCCGTATTGTTTGAAAATTTCGATCAGAGGATCAATTTTCAAATTAAATTTTAAATCTAGTTCTTGAAATAACATGCCAAAACATTGAAATTAATATCAATTACCTAAACAATTAAAGCAAATAAATCAAATTATATAAATTAAAATTAATCACTAAAAACTTAAAAGCAAATTTCGTCCACCTTCTGCAACAGTTTGTCATGGGTGAGAAATTTCTAATTTACTTCAGCTCACAAAGAGAGAACGTCACATCGAGTGTATTACTATGCTACACTCAAAATAATCTCATGTAGTAAGAACATTGCTCGAATCATTTGTTTGCGTGATTTTACCGCCAAATGATATTATGATATTATGGTCACAAATGTAACTCATATGTACCCCAACAACTTTCTACCTTTTAAGCTGTGAATAATAAATGATACATTTAATTGATACAAAACTTTCTATCAGCTAAAGTCGGCTTAAATATGTCCACCTTACACAAACATCCACCCCATATTTTACAATGGTCTCTTGGATGAACAACCCATGGTTGCTGACAATGTTTCTTCAGTCAGGTTAAGTCGACTATCTTCTCTGACTAAATAAACTAGGAACACATTAACCCGGGATGACGAAACCATAGGATCTTGATTCAATTTGTCATCATTTCCTCCAATTGCTTTAAGCTCCGAGTGATAAATTTTACAACTTAAAAGTATATATTTGTTGCTACTATATATTAAATTTTGAACTCTAAATGAGTAGCTATAATCAAAAGTGCTCTCCCGTTGTTAGAAGGGCTAAATAACCATAAGGGCTTGCAGCTATGGGAAACCGTGGACCAAAAATAAAAAAAAGTCCTTGCAAAATGAGAGCAAAATCTCAGGGTAGTGTCATATCTACAATTAGTGGTGACAAGACGAGCTTGAGCGAGCCAGGCTCGGTTCGTGTTCGACTCGTTAAAATACCATTGCTCGTATTCAACTCGTTTATATATCGAGCGCAACAAGATTTGTTTGTATTCGACTCGTTTGATTAGCAAGCCAAACACGAGCTGTTTGCGAATGAGCCGTTTTGACAGCCCTAGTCACACGGCTGTAGGATGTTAAGGGTAGGGGTGAGATTCAAATCTTATTATTTATATTAAAATATTCATTTAAATAAAATTTAATATATTTTATTTTATTTTTTAATTAACAATTTTAATTTATTATAAATCTTTGCAACTTTGTAGTCAATTATATTATTTAAAAATACTGCTCATCAATTTTATATATATATATATATATATCAATTAAAAATACAATAATTATTTCAAGCCAAAACGAGCGGAACAAGAACACACAAATCTTTGTTCGTGTTCGGCTCGTTTATATATATATATATCAATTAAAAATACAATAATTATTTCAAGCCATAACGAGCGGAACAAGGACACAAATCTTTGTTCGTGTTCGGCTCGTTTATATATCGAACGAAAAAAAAAATTGTGTTTTGCTTGTTTGCTTAACAAATGAATCGAATACGAGCTGTTTGCAAACAACGAGCCGTTTTGACATCCCTGTATACAAAAATCCAATCAGCCCTTTTGAAAATTTGACCCTCAAAGCTCTCAATAAAAAAAAAAAGGACTCCCGAGATATCAAATTTTTGGAGTCCACACAAGCTCGGTCTCTATAACATCTACTACCTTGCTTGACGAGGAATTTGAAAATCTGAGAAGATTTGGTTCTTTTCATGTTTACCTCTTATATGGGCCCGACCACCACCTCCAAATCTTGGAGGATTTGATTGGGATATCTTAGGAAACCTTTGATTAGTTTATTCTTTTCTTATTTTATGTCTTTCTATTTTTTATTCAAAATTATTTTCCTTCCTAATCTAGGTGAGATATGTTTGGTAAGGTTGGAAACAAGGAGGGATTGATTTCCCTATATATATATACATATATATATATATATATATATATATATATATATGTATATATAATACCTTAATTGTGAATAATGGGATGAAAGAATTTTTCTCCCCAAGTAAATTCTACATTTCTCTTTCGTGAGCTAGAGACACCCAATTGTAAGATGTGTTTCTGTTGGTTAATCTGATAAAAAGTTCTAAGAGTCCGTTCTTGATTCTGAAGCCATTAAATATCTTACCGGCCCAACTTGAACTGTTGTATCCCATCTCATATAGTCAACTACACCTTATGTGTTTCTTGGAGATTGTTGGTTGCAAATTTAACCATCCGATTTTACTTTTACATCTATGTAGTTTTTAAAATATTTGCAAAAATAGTAGCTCCTTGATTCATGTAGCACATTGCATCTTGGCATAATATTTACTAAAACCTCAACCTTTTGTGTTTTTGTCCATGTGGCATTCACCAAGGTTGAAATTTTGGAATGTCTTTATATGCCAAATGTTTACACTTTTATTCGAGGTTTGCGTAAATAATTGCATTCAATAGGAAAATAAATGCATGTACGTGCTTGAAATAGTATAATTTCAATTCTCCTAATGTTAACTCAAATTAACGCTTTTAAACATAAAGCGACTTAATAGAATACTATAGGCGGAATGGGAAGCTGACTTGTGATTCTATTTTCCTGAGAAAAGCTGTCATCTTGGCATGTTGACCTTCATTGGAAGAGGTATATGGTGAGAGCGGTGACATTTCTTTAAGGGGAATAAAGGAGAACTTCCGTTATTTGGCGGGCCCTAATATTGCCAGTATGTGTTATTGTTATTTCATTTCAGGAAGATTCTAATTAATTTATTTGTTGCTTGGTACCTTTTTGCTGACTGATTTGCATATTTTATCATTTCAATTAACAATTTATTGTATACCAATACACGCTAATGGGATTTAGTTCTTAACTCATTTACATATTATTTGTGAGGATAGTCTGCTCTTCTCAAGATTCAATAGATTATCACTTGCTGAGGTTTGTTCAATTTTCTGCAGTTTTGATAACCAGTCTTTTTTGCTAGACAGACTGGATATAATTTTAACTGTTCGATAAAAACCTTCTAACAGATCTGATTTGCTAATTTTAGATTGCTACACTGATAAATGATTATTGAGCATCGATTTTGCACTGTTCATAATTGTCCTAAATGCGCAGCATCCACATCTAATGACTAATCCAAATTTCTATTTGGTCTCCACTTGGCAGCACAGGTGAATACAAACCTGTGTGAGAAGTTTTCCGTTGGTCGCTACCCTATGCTTCTTTGTGGTCCACCTCATAAATTTACGTCTGCTGGATGGGATCCTAAGCAGGAAAAAAGTGAGATTATGTCAATTGATAATGCAAGGACAGCGGAACAGTTGCTTAATTGGATAAATAAAATAACTGAAAGGCAAGTTTTCACTTATTTTTCTTGTCTTTTTCCTTTTACTGTCATTTGTTGGTGCTTTTTAATCAATTAGTTCTTCAACCTTTAGTACTTCCTGTGACATTTCATTGTTAATAGGTGCATCTTGGATTATTTAGGTTTATATATATAATTGCCTTCACGGTCCTTGAACAGAAGTAAGGCTGGTTGTCGGGAATGTTTTGTAGATTCCTTATTTTCCTGTTCGTTTCTCTCATTCCTTTAGAAGGATTTAAGGATAGTGAGAGCATTGCGTCACTGCCAATTAGAATTATCTTCTAAATCGTCGAAGGTTTGTTTTCTTGTTTGCATCCCTTTCTGGTCTCAGAATTTTGTAAAATTTTAATGTCATGGATATTTTGTGCCTTTCACGATCTACAATAGAAATAATGTGGGGTAAAACTTGTCTAGCGTGTTCTGATTGATGACTGACATGTGCATTCTGAATAACACATAAGCACTATTTGTTGGGAAAGATTGGATGATTTGAAGAATGAGTACAAATTTGTATTCCATTATTAAATAAACTTTGAAACGAGGTTGAATAAAGGATTTTTTTTGTAGGGCTTTAGATTCAACCCAAATTTTCAATATGATGCGGTTGATAATGATGATTGATTTATATGCAGATTGTTTTGAAGTGGATATAACTTGATGACATGGGTGTCTTTCACTTAAGCGAGTATTGAATTTTTATGTTGTAGCATATTTGAGTTAAGTAGGAATTTAGTTGCAAGGAGAATCCTTGACGATCCGATTAATGACTTGAAATTAATCAATGTGAGATCAAATAGTTAGACGAGGAAATTTAAAATTCTCGATGTTCATTTTAAATTTTTATTTGCCACCACTAACTGTCAACAATTCAAATGAAATGAAAATGTCACCAAAGAATATAATTTAATTGACCAAATAAAAGTTCACTTTTTAAGTTGCTGACATCGCCTTCTGTACACATTATTTCCTCTAGTATTCATCTTATTTAAAAGCTTAAACCTGAAAAAAATATTAAAATAATGTAATGAATTATTTAAGATAACCAAATGGAGTAATCACATTTTTAAATCGCAATAACTCAAGAAAAAAAAAATGTATGCTGGTCTTTCATATTTCATTATAGACAAGCATAGAAAATTCTAATGTATGTGTTCATGACATTTTTTTTTGATGTAAATAGTGTAAAATTCTTTATGCATTAACCTTAACTTTACTTTACAAAGTTATATTTCTTAGATTTTGTATACTTCATATTCTTAACTTTCACATCCATCTTAGGAGCATCATCAAACATACTTAACACACTCCTAACCGATATTATCTCATCAGCACAACAATTTGTGATCTAAATTACACGATTGTTTGAGGTGGTGATGTGTCTATTCACGCTGGTTTGATATTCCTCTTATCGGCACAATAATTAGTGATCTAAATTTCACAATTATTTGACATGGTAGGGTGCTTATCCCTGATCGATACTCTCCCGTTAGCACAGTGGTTAGTGATCTATAAATTTTATTATTATCTAAGATGCCGAGAAAACATCTACGTGTGTGGGTAAATTGTGGTCCCCAACTAGTACCATAAGTGTGTGAGCTCTTCTTGGCATGCACATACATGCATATTCATGTATATACTATTGTCATTCTTCAAACATACATTAATTTCTTATGAACTTATTTATATTTATCTACTAAAGAATAAATGCACCTCTACTAAAATCGAAAGGTCAATGCATTTCTATTAGAAATTATAGGTCATGTAGTATGTGATATATTCATCTCTACTAGAATTTAGAGGTCAAGTAATATTCTGATATTTTTCTAGGAAAATTAATATTCCACTATTTATGCAACACAGCTAACAGACATGCTTGCTTCATGTAGAACAATATGAAGAATTAGCTGTAGTATAAACCTCACCATATATAGCATAAATATTAAAAATTTAAAACATGAATATATATTCAGAAGTAAGAAAAATTACTCTAAATTAGAAAAATAATTACTTACATTAACTTTGCTTGAAATCAAATATTCCAATTTCCTAATCTTGCAATTAATTAATTTTAAATTTTAGTACCTACTAATAATTAATATGATCTAACATTAATATTATAATAAACATATAATTTTAAATTTATTCCCTTAAATCATTTTTCTCCATTATCATCAACTCTCATTTCAAACCAAATATCACTTTTTCTCTACATTTTAATTTCTGCCGTTAATTCATAAAATGATAATCATTACGATTCAGATTAATATATGCTAAATTCCCAAATAAGAACTAAACATTAACCTAACCTCACTTAACTTCTTTCTTTGTTGCACAAAATCGATCTCTCACAATCTTTTAATTTTAATTGCCTTTCAAATTTAATCACTATTATTAATTCATAAAAGTTAATATCAAGTTGATATTTTTCATTTAATAATTCATATAATTATAACATGACACTCATAAAAGATAATCCTTACCTCCTTATCTGCTTTTGGTTCAAACTTCTACACACCAAAATTTTCGATGCACATGCTTGATTCAACACTCCGTCCACATGCGGATTGTGTATTCTCCTTCACAACAAGCTAGGATTGTTTGATTTCTCTCGTCTCCTCCTTCCTCATCTACTCGAACCCGCACATAAGGTCTCAGTTTTTCCTGTTCTACCCCGTACGGATGTGAGAATTCCTCTTTCTTGTTGCATAGAGCACATGTCGACGATACTACCCGCACAAGGGGCACTTCCTCTTTGTGCATCGAAATGCATGCTCACCATCGTTGTTCATCCTCATATCCTCAATACACCCGGACGACACCGAAAAACATCTCTCGAGTCCTTTAGCGGTGTCATCTTCCTCCTTAGCACACGAGCACTTTCTTTGCTCGAATGCAATGCAAAAGATATGAGGCTTTTTTCTTCTTTCTTTTGACTCACCATCGCTCTCTTTTGCTCGTTTGGTCTTCCGATTTGAAAGAGAACATATTTTTTATCCCTCGTCGAAACGTTGCGATGGTTTCTTATTCGAACTGACCTGTCAAATTTTCTTTTCTTTTCTTTTTTTCATTTTTTTGTTTATTTTTCATTTATTACAATCTCCCATCCTTATAAGAATTTTTTCCTCAATTTATGAAACTTCACAAGCTAATCTTTATTTTGATGAAATATGAACTATCCAAAAATCTTAAAAAAAGTCATTCTTGTTAAGTGCTAACAAATATAGATATGATAAATGTGACATCTTAGATAAGTTAATTGAACTAAACAATTCTTAAATATTTGAAACATAATAAATAACTAAAAGAAGACCACATCCTAAATAGGGTAACGTGACTAACACACTCAACTTCTAAAATGAAACTGCATGAGGATACTCAACAAAAGTCAACTAACATGATAACATAAGATAACATAATACTTATCAAACTCTACTAGCATCTACATCAGTAACAACATGTTCTTCAGGTTCTGGATGAGTTAAGGATTGGACTTTTGGTTGATTGTTTTGTCTTAGTTGCTCTTTATGAGTCACTCCACCAGCTTCTGTCATCTTCTGTTGATCACTCTTAAAAAGTAGATTCCTTCTAAAAAATTCTTTGAGTTGAATTCCTTCTTAATTTAGCATTTGATGTGTATCTCTGAGCAGAATTAAGGCAGTTCCTGATCTGATGTCCAAGCTGTCTACATGAGTAACACAGCTTAGAACCAAATAAGCATTCACCTTGACATAGCTTCCCACATTTAACACAGGTTGTCGGCCTGACTATTAACTTTATCCTCATATAATTTCATTTTTTTCCCATTATATTCTTCAAAATGAATTGTTGATGCCACTTCTTCCAAGCTTTTCTTCTTATGCCAAATCCCTTCACTTTTTTTTTGTCACTTCTTCCAAGCTCTTCTTCTTGTGGCGAGTCCCCACGCTTCTGAGTTTGTTGTCGATTTCCACTTGCCTAGTCCTCTCCGCTATGATCAAATAGTCTTCAATCCTAAGTGACACTAATACCTACCTAATTGAATCCTTCAATCCGGAAAGGAACATGTGACTTTTCTCTTATGCATTTGGATTAAGCTGTGACACATACCTCGAAAACATGATAAACTTCCATTTCATACTACATGATCAATCGATCTCCCTGCACCGTTTAATAAATTTATCTTGCATCTAGTTCCTTGCTAACAACGGTACAAACTAATTTCTGAAGTTTCTCTCAAACTGCCCCCACTATACCAAGTGGTTAGGTTGATCACCAAATTTCTCCTATAGCTTCCATTGCCATCATCTGCCAGGTTATCCCTCAAAAGAAAATGTAGTAAATAAAAACTCTTATCCTTGGTGTACATGTCATATCGTTTATAATTTTTCTCTACTATCATCAACCACTTTTCAGCTTTCACTGGTCCACCCGCTCTAGAAAATAATGGTAACCTCATATCCTGAGAGAGCTTCAAATATCCATCCGTGCTCCCTCATTGCTACTAACTTGATACTGAGAATTTTTGAATAGCTGATTCATAATAATTATTATTTCAACATTGATTGTAATATTTTGGGACATATTAGTTTCTATATTATCATTCATTATTTTTTCTACTTGATCATCTATAATTTTGAAATACAATAAAACAAGCTAATTATACTCAGTTAAAATTTCAATTTATACTCTTTATAACTTAATTCAATCATCCTAAGGTATCTTTCATTAAAAATCACATTGTGTAACTTAAACCTTCGACCGATCACTTTTGTCACGACCGGGCCAATGCTTGAAATTAACCAAGGAGGGGGAACAAATTGTCGGACCGTGAAATTTAAATTTTGTACATTTATTTTCTATTTTTATTTTCTATCACTCACAGTAAACAATCCAAATAAATTTGAAAAGCTACTAAAAATATAATTTAATTTAATAAATAAAAAATTTGGTTATTGACCCCGTCTTCTGTATACATTATTTCTTTCATTATTCTTCTGATTCAAAAGCTTAAATTTGAAAAAATATTAAAATCGTTTTTAAAAATCAGACCAGACTGATCAGTTTGACTGGTTCAATTGATTTAATTGTGAACCGGTCATTCATCCGATTTGGTCGAAGCTTTGAATCGTTTTTGCATAGAATCAATATTAAACTCTTAGAGTTGTGGTTAAACTGGCGAGCCGGTTAACCGGTGAACCGACTCGATTTTTAATGAACTGTCTGATTCAAATATTATCCAATTTTAATCTTTTGATTTTAGTCGGATGACAAAAAACAAGATGTTTAAATTAAAAATAGTGAAATTATTATGTCTTAAATTTTTTATTTGTAATATTGTTCAAAATATTTAAAAGTGGTCTTAAATTAAAATATTATTTATTGAATCGATAAAAATGATTTTAATGTATCATTATTTTCTTATTTAAATTATATTAAAATAATTTAAGTATTTATTATGTCATTCGGTTAAAACCTTCTGTTCAACCCCACTTGAATTATTTATTCTTGAATATTTTTCTTTCGATTCAATATTCGGTCCATTTTCATATTCTTATTAAAACAATATAAAGAATTGTATGCCCTTTCTTTCAATTGAGCTGATCGCCTCGCTTCGCTAGTTAGAGTTGTGCTCTTCCTGAGCTGATTGCGTGCGCCTAGAGCTGTGTTGACAGAGCTACTTCTTGCTGTATGCCCACCAAAGCACAGACTCTACTCACCCACTACTGGACTCTTCTACGGGCTGGTGAGACTATTCCACTACAGAAAAGCATCTAAGCTAGTGGTTATCTTGTCGTCCCCGACCAATATCATAAGGGGTGAACTCCTCTTAATATGCACATATTTCATGCATACATTATTTTCATTATTCATCGCATGCATTACTTTCTTATGAAGCATTTTACATTTATCTTCTAAAGAATAAATGCATGTCTATTAAAATCTAAATGCGTGCAATAATCTGATACATGCATCCTTGCTAGAGGTTAAATATCATGCGATAATATGATATATGCATCTCTATTAAAATTTAAAGGTCATGTGATACTCTGATGTCTTTTTAAGAAAACTAATAAACCATTACTTATTCAACAGAGATAACTTGTGTGCTTCATAATATGAAGAATTAAGTGTAGTTTAAATCTCATTATATGGAAGATAAATGTAACAATATTAAAACATGAATATAGATTTAGAAGTAAGAAAAGTTATTGTTATTAGAAAAATAATTACTCACCGTAATCTTATTTGAAATCAAATATTCCAATTTTCGTTTCTTGCAATCAAATAATCTTAAATCTTTATTCCTGCTAATAATTAATATGTTCTAACATTAATATTATAATAAGCATCCAAACTTAAATTAATAAATTTAAACTTTAATTTTAATTACCTTAAACTTTTTTCCTTCGCTATCGTAGATCTTCTTTTCAACCAAATATCAGTCCTCCTTTTGATTTATTCCATTAATTCATAAAGAAATGATCATTATGATTTAGATAAATATGCTAAATTATAAAATAAGAATTAAACTTTAACATTATCTCACTTTACTACTTCCAATCTTTTATGAGTTCTATGTTTTAACTTTATAAATTGTTTAATGGAAAATGTTATTAAGCTAATATTAAATTTTGTTGCACAAAAGTTGATCTCAATATCTCCCAATCTTTATTATTAATTCATAAAATTTAATATTAGCTCAATAACATTTTTCATTAAACAATTTATAAAATTAAAACATAAAACTCATAAAAGAAAAACTTGCGTACTCTCGGTCCAGTCTTCCACACACCAAAATTTTGCACGCATGGGCTCAGTTCGACACTCTGCTCCACACACGGGTCCCGTGCGCTCCTCAATTTCCCTTGTCTCATCCTTCCTCTTCTGCTCGAACCCACACATGAGATCTCGGTTCTTCCTCTTCTTTTTGGCACGCATGGGAGAACACCCCTTCTCTTGCTGCACAGAGTGTGGGTCGACGATACTATCCACACTAGAGGCACTTCCTCCTTCCCCTTTGCTCATAGAAATGCACTCTTGGCGTTGTCATTCGTCCCCACATCCTCAATGCACCTGAACGACGCCACAACACATGTCTTTCGAGCCCAGAAGTGGTGGTTTTCCTCCCTAGCACACGAACACTCCTCCTTTGCTTGAATGTGACGCAACAACAAGATACGAGACTTCCTTCTTTCTTACGACTCACTCTCGCTCCATCTCTTCTGTTTGTCTAGTCTTCTTATTTGACGAAGAACGGATTTGTTTCTCGCTCTCTCTGTTTTTATTCATTTTCTTTTGTCTATTTTTCTGTTATTACAGAAATGTTGATTAAGGAAATGAAAATGATGATTTATTTTGTAAATAATATTATCTAAAAGTTAAATGTAAAGGTGTATGGATCTGGTGTATTTTTTTTTATCAACCTTTAGATTTAAATTTCAATTCCCATCTATAGTGGTTTGCGCCAGATATCAATGGCCTCCAAAATACCAAAACATATAATTAGTATTACTTTAAATTTTTTGGTGGTCAGAAATGTTCCAGCTTCCAAGGAAAAGTAAATTTTATTTTACTTCTTAAACGTCAGTCTACTCTTTAAGATATTATAGACTGATTTAAATTATGCTTTTTTTTTTGCCAGTTCATTCAGTTTGGATGATGAAAAATATGATAATGGAAGTACTCTTCCATGGAATGCCACAGATCCTGAACAGGTTAATAATTGTGTGAAAGTTTTGGTGTTCATAATAGAATGTAGTATTCAAGACGCTAACTTACTCTTTGCCCGTTGGGTTAGATTGCTCGAGCAATATATGATGTTGAAGAAGCAACTTCACAGTTATTTGATATAATCACAGACAGCAAGGTATAGCTGTTCTAGAGTCGTGCAAATTTTAAATTTTAAGCCTGGGTGATTTTGTTTATTTATGTTTCAGAGGATCACAAAAGAAACTCGTGCCCCACTTATCAAGTTCTTCCAGCTTTTGATAGCTCATCATCCTTCTAAAAGGTGGTACCTCTACTCCTAAATTAAATACTCCTAAATTCATTTAATTTTGAAAAGATTTTTCATTTCTTTGGAAGTTTTTCTTCAGGTGCCGAAGAGGAACTGCTGAAATACTTGTCAATTTTGATGAAATGTGGCCTTTAGATTATTCAATTAGCCCACAAAATGCTTCCAGATCTTATCCACGAGATGTGAATAAAACTTTTCCAATTTGTGGAAAAGATGTTCCTCGTGGCTATTGGGTAAGCAATAAATCCTGTTCATACTTTCTGAACTGACTGTTCTCTCTGAGTAGAATTGTTTGTATGTGAATTGTATTATGTTGGTTTGCCTACTTGACAATATTACATTATGCTGCAGATATTTTGTCGTGGAAGCAGCAATGAAACTAGGGGTTATAGGTATATTGCTATGAACATCTTTTTGGTGCTTATTTGTTTTCGATCATTTTATGCTTTTGCTACTTATGTATGCTGAGTTTGGCCAAAAATAACAACTTTGCATATATTATTTTTTTGGTTGAAGAGCGCCTGTTGTAAAAGGGTATAATACACAGTCTCATCCATACTCTTCATGTTGAATGCATCATAAAGAAAGCTAATGTAAACAAATATTTCTTTTTAGGATAATAAAGATCTGTGATGTCATGTCATTTTATTCTTTCTATAAACTTTGACGCATAATTTCAGTCTTATGATTTACAGCATCAAGGTCTACTTGTCAGTCTAACAAAATAGTAGGTCTAACCGGTTTGTCCGCCTGAATTGTTCTTTCTTCAAGAATAATAACTATATGAAGAAGAAAGTTGTCATTCTAGATGTGACCTTGTTTACAAATATCTAAGGTTCTTTTCAAATAATACAATTTGACAATAAAATCTATGCCCAAGTGTGATTCTCAGGAGCTAGTAGATGGTAATTTTAAACCATTTCTCTATGCATATTTAATCATTCAGTGCTAAATTAAAATGGACTACTGAATGCATTTACTTGTTTGTAATCAATACAATGAAGCTCATGCTAACATTCATTGTAGTTGTGGCCTTTGGATTCTGCTACACTCACTCTCTGTAAGAATTGGAGATGGGGAGGCCCAACTAACGTTTACGGTTATCCACGATTTTGTTTACAATTTCTTCATCTGCGAAGAATGCCGGAGACATTTTCATGAGATGTGTTCCAGGTATATATCTAGAAGTGCCTTCAAATTATTTCATTAATAACAGTGTTACATGATTCATTGAAAAATTTTATTTATTTATTTTTTGCAATTGTAGTGCCCCGGTCCCTTTTAACACAACTCGGGCTCTAGTCCTCTGGTTGTGGCGCTCCCATAATAATGTCAATGAAAGGTTAATGAGAGAAGAAAAAGAGTCGGGTACTGAAGACCACAGATATCCTAAGATGATATGGCCACCAAAGGATCTCTGTCCATCATGTTCGTTCTCTTCTAGCAGTAAAGCTGGTCACGCCATTCTGGACTGGAACGAAGATGAGGTTTTTAAGTTTATAACGAATTATTATGGAAGTTTGCTTGTTTCTGCTTACAAAGATGACACAATAATAAACCGAAGAACGAACCAATCAGTTGATGATGTGATAACAACCGCACACGCCGTTGCCGTACCCGTTGGTGCCGCACTGGCCATTGCAGTCGCTAGCTGCGCCTTTGGAGCTTTGGCGTACTTTTGGAGGACACAGCAGAAGAATCGGAAGTACTTACACCACTCTTTAAAGAACGTTTGATTTGTAGGAGGGTAAACATCCATATTTTAGTTGATATGTTAGGAAAGAATCAGGTTCATGTGTGATAAGGCTTCTCTTATTTTATTAATCTGTCATTAATTATATTCTTTTGCTTCAGGCGGAAGAGCACAAATTAGGAAAAAAGAGGTATTCATTCCACTAACCAGGGCACAATCATAGTTTGTATCACGACCATAGAGAAGGCTCAAACTCGTCGCGTCTTGACCGATGTCTTCTTTGGGGACAATGACTGGAATTTTACTGTATATTTATTGATTATCCTGAATTTCAGACAATATCAGCATACGATGAAAAGGTCTTCTGACGTTTACACGAAAGGAGTTTGGTATGATTCTACAAATGAGCAGGATATTGAAATCAAATTCAGAGTATGTAAAAGAAAACATGATTTGTTATGAGTGCCCAATGTTTGCAATAATAGTTTTAGATGCCAATTATTTAATGTCTTGGACAGTCTTTAAAAGTTATCTATTATAGTTAACACATGTTATCTGGACGTTAAACATGTTTTCCACATAGTAACATTTGGTGCATAGTATTGTTAAACATGCTTATTTGACATTTATCTGATTACTTTACTGTAGAAAGTGATTTCAAGTATATCTGTTCCATGATTTCATCTTTATTTGGTCTGCAGCTGGTGGTGATAGTTGTTATAACCTTCATGTTCTGCCCTGAATTGATATTTCACTGGCCTCCTGTACAAGGCACATGTATAAAAGATAGGTGAATTAATGCCCTAATTGAAATGATAAGAATTTCTTAGAATATGCAGCACATTGATTGGAAATAAAGTGAATAATTTTAAGGTGTTTTTTGAACAACAACAAAGAAAAAAAAATTGCATACATGCTACTCAATTCCTATGTATTTACATATTTAACATCTAAGCTGTGCTTTTTGTACTTATATCACTAAGTATTTTAATATCAAATAAAAAGAAGCCACCATTTTGATTTTTATAAAGTGAAATACACTTTTTCGTGAAATGCATTTTTTCATGTAATGTTAAGATTCTATTTGAAAATTGAAGTTTAGGTGTTAGATATGGGGGTGTAAAGGAGTCGAACACGAGCAAGCCCAGGTTTAGCTCGTGTTCGGTTCGTTTATATTTCGAGCTCAAAAAGTGTGTTCGTGTTCGGCTTGTTTGTTTAGCGAGTTAAATGCGAGATGTTCACGAACAAAGAGTCATTTCGACAACCCTAATCAAATCAACATAAGATGTTAAGGGTTGGTGCAAGATTTAAAAATTATTGTTTATATTAAAACATTATTTGGATCTAATTTAACAATTTTTATTTTATTTTTTTAATTAATACTTTTAATTGATTATAAATTTCTGTAGCCTTGTAATCAATTATATATAATTGATGAGTAGTATTTCGAGCTAAAATGAGTCGAACATGAACAAATAAATTTTTGTTCGTGTTTGGCTTGTTAACTTAGCGAAGGAGCTGAACACGAGCTTTTTACGAGCCGAACACGAGTTGTTCCCGAACAACGAGCCATTTTGACAGCCCTAATTAGATATATAAATACATAGGAATTGAGTGATATGTATATAAATCTTCCAAAAAAAAAATAAAAAATAAAAAATACAAACAAGAATCAATGGAGGGAGCTACCTGCTGCAGTAGTTGCTGTTGCCGACACTGGAATGTAGTTACTGCTCTCAGCATTATGTATAGAGGTAGGCCAAGTGCAGCACTTCTTAGTAGCTGCATCTGATTTTAGAAGCAACATTTAAGCCAAATATGAAGGGTTCCTTTGGGTTCTATTTTCTAAAAAATTACTATACTTTTGGTTGGCTGTAGGTTTTTCTATGAAAGAGTTTTAAAAAATTTTATTGCCTTTCTGCAAAGAAAAAAATAATTTCACAACAATCTAAAAAAAAAGTTTACTTGTGAGAATTATATATAAAACAGTACAATAATCGAAATTGATTGGCCACAACAAATAACCGCTGTGGTTGTTAATGAAGTAATTTGCATACATTTTAAAAAATTGACTTCCAAAAAATCAGATGATTGACTAGATTTTCATTATATATATAACTTCCGATCAACTCCTATAGGTTGGACTGACCAAAGGGCGGACCCCCTTTCCAGTTCGTGTATAATTCAAATCCTCCCGAAAGAGCTGAGATTCAAACCTCCGACCAGAGGGTCTTAAACCAAGGCCGCTACCAATAAGTCAGGGCTATATATATATATATATATATATATATATATACATACAAGGGGGTTAGATTTAAAGCTATGGTCACCAGGCAAGAAGTTACCATGAAAATTTGGAGCGAATACTGCCCTGAGCCATTGTTGATTGTAGGAAGTGCTTCCCGAAGCAACAGAAGCAGCAGAAACTGAAAGCAAAATATCAACATATGTTGCTAATAACATTATAGCAACATTATATAAAAATTACTCACTATCAAAGCTACTGAACGGCAGTACAAAATGCTTCTTGAAATGGAGTGCTCATTAAATTCAGATGGTATTGTTTCTCGGTAGAATGGTGCTGTTGTCATCAAGTTCATGCTCGTTCTTGCATGCAGGAATAACTTGGGTGTTGCATTATAACCAGGCATGAATGGCTGGATCAAAGGAGAGTTATGAGATTTTATACTCGAGTTTTTTATTCGTTCGATAGATTTAAAAAGAGAACAGGGTCAAAATGATTCGTTGAATCTTTTTATGAGGTCATTTTAGTCTTAGAGTTTTAAAAATGATCAATTTCGCCCCCATACTCTTGTAAAATGGGTTGAAATAGTCTTAATTGAAGAATATTTTTAGCCACCATTGAATCGGTCTAGGACTAATTTAATATCTTTACGAACTCTGAGACCAAAATGACCTTACGTAAATAGTCGGAGGACTATTTTGACACTTCACGTTCAAAACAAAAATAACAACATTATATTACATGAAATTAAACAATTTATGTCTTTTCTTTTGCTAAGATAGATTACGATGGCTTGACCAGGATTATGGATTTCATTATTGGAGGCAACTAGAGATCAAGATAAATGTTAGAGCTCTACAAAACTAATATATATATATATATATATATATATTACATTTTTACATATAAAGGATGAGAATAAAAGAAAGAAATAAGCATTGCTTTTTTAACTGTATTATTAAAAAAATTAAAAGGGGGTATTTACGTACAGGCCTAATTTTTATCTATCTACATATCTAACACTTTAGCTTTATTTTTACTTTATGCGACCCAAATTTTCAATATCAAATAAAAAATAGCACTAATTCAATTTTTAAAAAATAAAATACACCTTTTCATGCAAAGGTAAGGTGGCATGTAAAAATTGAAGTCGAGCATTAATATGCAAATGCATAGAAATTGAGTGGTATAGATCTAAATCTTCTAATTTTATAATAATAATGTAAATGGTGAAAAATGAGTAAAATGATTTAATTGTATTTTAAAAATACCAGATAGAAAAAAAAAAATATTATTGAAGTAAAATTAATTTCAATATCTACATTTTATTTTTTCATGAGTTTCTGGCCTGATTTTTATAACTCAAATTAGTATTTGGTTTGATTTAAGATATATTAATTTAGGTTATTTTAAAAACCATACATTTCATATTTGGTTCAATGGTTCACAGGTTTGATCGTTGGTTCGACCGATCAACTGTTTTTTTTTTCATTTATTTGAACCAATTAGAACTCTGGTTCTGTTAAATAGACGAATTTGATCCCATTTTAAACCACTGATATTAACTATATAGAGCAATTTATATTTACTTTTTGTTTTCTGAATTGTTTTTTTGAATAATTAAATTAATTTATGTCATTTGAAGAAAATGTTATAAAAACATAATTATTATTCATTTGGTGCGGCTTATTTGCTGCGATGCGTCCCAAAAAACACAACATGAGGAGCGGCCGTGTTTATGAGAAAGCCATTTTTCGTGATATGTTTACAGCCCTACACTTAAGTCTCTTGCGATTGCTGTCTTCCTCTCTCCCCTCTTATGTGCTGTTCTCCCCTCTTTTATCTCTCACGATTTTTGCCCTAAACTCACATTTGATCTCTCGATCCTCTTCGATGCAAGGCTAGAGTTTGGTTCCTTTCTCTTCTCCTCTCCCTCTCCCATCTGTTCTTCGGTGTGGTCTGGATGATTGGTTGGTGGTTCTTGCGGTGAGCTTGTCTTTCCTGATACCTCTCCCTTTCCCCTTGTTCTTCTGCTGGGTTCAGATCACTGATTCTCCATTGCTCCCACGGTATTCTCAACAACCTTCTATCGAGGCATTTTGATTTATGGTTAAAATTTTTTATTCTTTGTTGTGCTATAATGTTTTTGGTTTGTTGTGTTGTGATGTTAGAATTTGGGATTTCTCTTGGTTATCTGTGCTGATGATGTTAGAATTTGGGATTTCAGTTTTGGCTTTATCCAATTGGTTTGTGCTGTTGGATTTGAAGGGTTGGTTTGTGTTGTAGGATTTTGTAATTTTTGTGTGCTCTCAATTAAAATTTCGGTTTGATTGTCTTCCTTTACTGTTCGTTGTCTGGTTGCGGATTTGAATGTTTATGTTGTGATGTTAGTTTTTGCCCAAAATTTGGTGGTGGTGGTGATTGCATGTGTAAATTAATTGAAATACAAATGGGCTATGTGGTAGTGCTATATTGCCCTTTTTGGTAGTGGTAGTGGTGGTGATTGTAGTGATTTCCCAAAATGATAGATTAAGATATCTCAGTGTGGATGTGATGGTGTGTGGTATGGAGGTGATGTTGTAGGGTGGTGGTATGGTGTAGATGTGACAGTTTGTGCTGTGGAGGTAGTTTTGTGTCGGTGTGTGTTATAGAAGTGGTGATGTGGTGGCGTGTGCTGCAAAGGTGATGATGTGTGTGTATGGATGTATCAGTATGTGGTATGACGGTGGTGTTCTAGGGTGGTGGCATGGTGTGGTTGTGGTTGTGTGTGTGTGCTATGAAGTTGATGATAAGTCAGCGTGGATGTGGTGGTGTGTGGTGTGGAGGTGCTGTTCCAGGGTGGTGGAGTAGTGTGGATGTGGTGGTGTGTGCTATGGAGTTGGAGATGTGTCGGTGTGGGTGTGTTAGTGTGTGGTATGAAGGTGGTGTTGGAGGGTGGTGGTGTGGTGTGGAGGTGATGGTCTGTGATGTGGAGGTGGTGGTGTCGTGTGCTGTTGAGGTGTCAGTGTGTGGTATGGAGGTGGTGTTGTCGGATGGTGGTGTGGTGTGAATGTGGTGGTTTGTGGCATGGAGGTGGTGGTGTGTGGTGTGGAGGTGGTGTGCAGGTTGTTTAGGGTTTAGGGTGGTGATGATGTTATGGCATGGTTATTTTCCTTTCAGTTGTGGTAAACATTTTTATGGCAAATATTTATGTTGATTAGTTCTTTTCATGCTAGTAATATAATAATTAAGACAAAAGAAGTCAGTTCATCTGTTATGTGGGATAAAGATACAAAAAATAATATTTTGCGACCTTTGCTTTAAGGAGGTCGAATTGGGAAATAAGCCAACAACCTATTTTTACAATAAGGTTTGGCAAAATATTATTAAAAGGTTCAAGGAAAGTATAGGTTGGGAGTACAATAGGATTCCATTCAAAAATAAATGAGATCAACTAAAAAAAGATTGGAAACTGTGGAAAGAATTAAAGTGAGGATCCATGAGCTTGGGTAAAGATCTAATAAATCAAATAATTGATGCTTTAGAGGAATGGTGGGAAGAGAGATTGAAAGTGAGCATTTATGAAATGTCCACTGTTTTGATCAAGCTTTCAATTTTTTCAGACGCATCAACATATCCTATGACTTTGCAGGTTGCGTCAGCTGCAAAATAAAATTTAAATACAGTGACATCGATCCTGAGCTAGAGAAGAATTTAGACCATATGTTTGGTATTGTCATGACAAAGGGCAATAATGCTTGTACCCCTAATGAGATAGGGTTTGGTGGCATTGCTGAAAACTTTGATGCTGAACAAATAGGTGATTCCAATGAAGGTCATAGCCCAAACCTCATTGAAGTTGAATCCACCAGCCGATCAAAGCCTCTTAGGGTTGAGAAAAAGAAAAAAATGTGTTGTTTTCGTTAGAAATCAGTTTTGACAGTTGGTGGCTTCATGCACCAATGAACCTAGCCCATCACAAACAACATCCATTCAATAGCTTATGCCAATTCTGGAGGGAACTCTGAAAAATTATGAGGACATGTCGTCGTGTTTGTTCTCTATAAAGTTGCTTAAAGACTCGACCTGGAGAGAGTTCTTCATGACGATAACCCCTGAACGTAGGGTGTATTATTTATGTTATTTTTATGCAAACAGGGACACTTGAGGGATACTTAAATTTTATTTTATTGTAGTTGGACATTTTATATTTGCTTTTCAATGGGCTATAGTCCGTGATGCTTTGTATTTTTATTTTTTCATTGAGATGCTGTTAATGGTTATTTGCATTTCTATTTTTCATCATTATGTTTTGTATTTGTTTCTCCAATTTTATTTGCATGTGGTGTTTGTTTATATAATTATATGATTGTAGCTAAATCAATGATTCTTATGGTTAGCTACATGGATTCAAATAGAGAAAGATGCAGAAAGAGAATTGTAACTATAGTGTGTATGATGTATGAATATTATATATAAAACACACTCCTTGCATGACATCCATGTATATTTGTGACAAGTGGATTGGGGAGTTGCTTGCAGGTCACATAACAAGATTCAATAATATATGATTTATGTTTTTGAGACCTCACAACTGCATAAATCTAAATTGATTACTTCTATTATCAATTGTTACTAAAGTTACATCTAAGGGTATGTGCTTCGTGTTTTTGAGCCTTACAGGAAAGATAAGCTTCAATGATTTCTGATAACTCCAGAGCATTGTACTGCTACTATGGACTATATTGTTCCCTGCATACTTTGCAATAGCCCATAGCTACATGAGATAGTTTTACAGGTGTCCAAGGAGAAGAACAAAAAATTATAGCTTTTTTAGGTGGGTAGATGGGTTGGAGGATTTCAAAATCGAGAGTGATCGGGCGTAGACAATTTCCCTGGAAGACAACTCATCTTACGACATACAATGGATGTATTTTAAAAATAATATTATTATATTATTAATTATTATTTTATTAGTGCTTTTCTTAAATTTTGATTGTCGTGTTACTCACTATTTAGTGAGGTGTCTATTTTATTTTGTAATGTTCAAACTGAATATTTTCTTTCAAGTATGGAATGTGCTATCAAAATTAGTTCTGTTAAAAACACCATTATAGTACAGGGACAGAAATATCATTTGTCAGAAATAACTGCAACACAACTGTTTCAAAACTATAAAAAAACAAACAAACAATCAGTTTATCCACAACAAATTTTGTGTATTAGCATCCTACCACAATTGCTGCCACAAATAGACCCTTAATCCATGAAAGTTGAAAATAGTTTTTTTAGAATGAATGTTTAGTTATCCTCTAAAAAATTCACTTTAAAAGAATTTAATTTTTATTAGTAATTGTAAATTAAAAAACTTTTTAGCAAAAATCTTATAGATATCTGACTGTCGACATAGAAGATGACGTGGCGCTTTGGAAC